TTGTCTCAGCTTCATGAGGCGCATTTTGGAGTTTGAATCCGATGCCTCTACGCTGAGCAACATGAAGTCTACCTCGAGGTCTCAAAAAGTGCACAAACAATTGGTCCCTTACGTTAAACCTGACCATTTTGGCGTATTTTCCTTGGTTATCAACCAAAGTGTTCCAGATCAAGCATAGATTATAAAGACAATTACTCCATACCAGCAAAATAACGTTTCGACCCATATAAGCCTGGTTCCACATGGTGGTATATATTCAATAGCTCGATCTATACTTTGCCATCGACACTCTGAGCTGGATTTTGTGTTCGCCTCATTCATTTCGAGATGAGACATCATAAGAAATGAAACTTCTTTTTCGCGGTTGACAATTATTGTTATTTTAATGTACCTGTTCTGTGCCTCACATGTGTGCGAGCGCCATTGGTTTAGTGGTAAAATATCTCGTTGCCATCGAGATGCCCCGGGTTCGATTCCCGGATGGCGCAATTTTTGCCAAGTCGAATGTGTGCTGTTGCTTCCACAGCTCATATTGTCTGGCACTGAAAAATGTCTGTGCACCTGATGACGAAGCTTGAGTACATACCGTAGCCTCTAGTACAATGCGCTCAGGCTTTGCCCACCGTCATGTGACTCGGAGGCCAGGAACGATGGTAATCGAGGTTCTAATGCGACGGATAATCTTATCCGGATGGAACTGCATTTTCGAGATTTCAGCGTGGCGACTCTCAGACGCGCGGCGGCATGTGGGTCGATCAGTGCGTGGTCCTATTAAGCCTCATTTCGTGTGTCTTTTTCAATGCTAATGCCACACCAGTTGACGCCGCGAAACGAAGAACTATTGATGTGTGGGTGTACGACGATGCGAGAAATCCGTGGGACGGCAAAATCGTGGCTATTGCTGCCGACGCACAAGAGACGTTAGACACAATCCAAGAGTTCCTCACAACATCTACTCATCGTGTTCACGATGGTGATCTCGACCTCGTTGCTCTTGCTTCTATCGAAACTGCTTTGTACGAGCATTTTTACACGCTTGTCGATTTGGCAAAAGATATGGAGTACACAATGTCGTCCGAGTCGATGAAGTCGACCGCCGCTCGCATCTTCGAGCTAAATGGAAGCATGCAAGACCTGCTGAACCTTGTGTCCAAGCAACGCAAAGTCGCCAGTGGTAGACACTCAAGTGCCTCCGCCGCCACGGACCCGTACGCGCTATCGGACCCGTTTCTCGACATGTACGACGAGCTTGTGGACATGGGGTACTCCCCCGCTGCATTTGAGCGATGGTTGGAATTGGCTGCTTCCGAGGCATCCCCCGGTACCGCGTACGAGGCTATTGCTACGTACATGTTGTTCCAACCCCAAGACACAGCTGTGTATCCATTGAACCTTTCTGCGGCCCTCGACTTGCTGGAGCGTGCCGGAACTGCGTCTGCTAAGGTGCTACAAACCATCGTTCGCATGGCAGTGTTTCAGAACCAAATCGCGTCCGCGGCATCTACGGCAGATGCACTTCTGCGCACCCATGCCGCGACCAATTTTCTGGCCAGAATGGTGCTGGCCGCGCGGCTGTATTCGCATGCAGCAGCACCACTGACTGATGATGATCCGTGTGAAGAAGCCGTGGCGTACTACTACACAAGTGCTGAAGACAGCGTTCAGGACATGATCGACTCAGGCGGGGAGAAGGGTACGACGAGCAATTCGTTTCGACTGATCGAGGTTCACAAGGCCGATAGAGAACTATGAGCCCATGCTGCGGCTCTCAGAAGCGTGGATGGGCATGCATCGTTCGTCCGACGACCTGCTGGAGGTACCGCTAAACGGCATGGACGCGTTGGACTACGTTCGGTCGCTGGCGTTGGGGTGGGTGATCGAATGGATCCAGGGCATGTGCGTCACCATGAGCATGTAGAGGAAACCCTGAAGCAGTTCATCGACTGGGCGAAATGCATTTTTTTGGCGATGCGCAGGCAGGTCTGGCCCCGAATCCGATTGAAGCTCTGCGACATTTTGAAGAAGCGGCGGCGAACGGCATTGCCCACTCCATGGCGAATCTTGGCCTCATGTATGCTAACGGCATGGGAGTTGACCCGAACCCGGAGCGCGCGGTGCAGTACTTTCAGCAAGCTGCGGACCAGGGCAACGCGTTCGCGGTCAACGGTCTCGGCTACATGTACGTTCGCTCGTAAGCACACGAAACTATGTGATCGCCATGGTGCTGTCGTTGTAGGCACTGGACAGGCCAAGGCGTGGCAAAAAACTCAACGAAAGCCGTGGGGTACTTTCAAAAGGCTGTCGATTTGGGGTTTCCTGAAGCCCATCAGTACTTAGGGGCTGCCTACTTGGACGTACGAGCAATCGAATCGAAACCCACTTACGTTGAGTGTAGGGCGACGGGGTCGACCAGAACAACACGCGGGCTTTCCACCACTTTTCAATCGCCGCCAACGAGAGCGACTCGCGGCAAGCTCACCTAAACTTGGGCATCATGTACTACAAAGGCCTCGGAACGCCTCGGTCTTGTCCGTTGGCCGTCCAAGCATTCCGCACCGTGGCGTGGCGCGCAGCGCTTTTTGACGATGTCCTCCTGTCGCCTGAACTAGGCCACAAAGCTTTTTTGCGCGGCGACATGGCGCGGTCCTTGCTTCACTATTCCATTTGGGCGCTCTTCGGGGTACCGCAAGCCGCATGCAACGCCGGGTTTCTCCTCGACCAGATGCACACTCAGCCGTTCGACACAACACCGCCCCTGCAGCTGGCCAAAGCGCTGTACGAAGCTGCAGGATCCGACCCCGAAGCGCTTCGAAAGCTCGGCCATTGCCATCGTGACGGATGGGACCACGCTTGTTCAGCAAATGCCACAATTGCACTCGAGTACGCTTGGAAGGAATTTTCATGTGGTTTCTGGAGTGGTCCATGTGTTGAATGATATTGCGTGATGTGGGACGGATGGAAAAACGCGGTAGCATCTGAGTCACGTATTTTGCAGGTATTACGCCAAAGCAGGATCCCTCCACGACAGCGAAGCATTGTACAGCGCCGGCATGCTCTACACGACCCACGGCAAATGGGACCAAGCCCACGATGCGTGGCAGGCCTGCTTGAGCCACGACTACCCAACCAACATGCCGTGCATTCTCCCCGCTCTGGCCCTCGACGTGTGGGCAGGACTAATTTGGGTCGCGACGTCCGTCGTCCACGCTTGGACATTGCTGCACGACATTGTCGTATTTTCATAAGTTTATTAAGGTAGCTCTCCACTAGTAGACTGATTTGGTTGTCTTGGATGCTCCATCTCGGCATTACCTTGGACGACGGCCGATCCACGAAGCCTCCTTCCAACTCGGCTTTACCCACGTCAACTCCTCCTCAACATTGCTTGTGCGGTCGGAAAAGTCCTCTCCGTCAATCACGTCACCAAAGCTCAATACTTCCATTCAACTGGTACAAAAATGTTGAATGGGACCATGCATGGATGGGCTTCGTCTTGAGGAAGTGATGAGCGTTGCCATAACGTGGGCGAGGGAGTCACAATGCGGCGACACTCAAGTGGTGGGTCAGACCCCACTTCACGATTCGCCAGCTACAGGCGAGATTCATTCACGATCGAGTCATCGAGACTTGACGGACCTTGGAGTGTCATTGGCGGCGTCGACGATGCAAATGCATGCATTGGGAGTTCGCTCGTCGTCGCGGCTCCGGTCTACGCCCATCTCACGTATCCATCGATACGAATGGAATAGGAACCCGCCGTGAGTCACGACCACCACGCGCTGGCCGCTATGTTGTTGTTGCAATGACTTCAGTGTGGTCCTTACGCGTGTGGCCATCTCCATCGATGACTCCCCACCGTGCCCGTTAAACTCTACGCGCGTGTATGTGAGTGAAAAAGCCCGGGCGTTGCAGCCTTGCCCAAATCCGTTCGCAGGAGCTCGTACTCGCGACGTTGTGATGGAGACATTTCACCCGCCGTGAGCCCTTGCAACCGACCGAGATTGTGCTCCCTGAAACCAGCGTCTTTCCGCATTGGGATGCGCAGCGCAGAGGCAATGGCTTCGGCTGTCGAGTGAGCACGTGACAAATCACTAAACACGAACAATCAACGATGACAACGACATTCGTCTTCAACCGACATCGTCGTACCTCGTCACAATCGCGTCGAACGGCGTGGTGCTGTGGATGCCCGCGAGGTACGAAGCAGTTGCAGCGGCCTGTCCAACACCCGTGGCGTTGAGTGGGGTGTCCTGGTGACCCTGAAGGCGGTGGTCAATGTTCCAGTCGGTCTGTCCATGTCGAACAAACCAGATCTCCACCCCCATCTCAAATGCAACTCAAGGCGCTGCTGTTGCGGTATGTGGACTACAAATACCTTGACAGAGGGGACGACGAATAACCCACGAAGTACTCGATGCACATGATAGGATTACAAATAATGCCTGAGGCTACAAGTACAACTTGGCAAGGATTTCGCGTCAATCCTGTAAGATGCCTCCACCACCTTGCTCTTCCACTGACTTTACATGAGCATGCGACTTTCGACTGCCCTCATCGCCCTCGCTGCCCTTGTCGGCGCCGTCACCAGTCGCATACTTCTCGTGGGGACGACGAACAACGCCGTCTCCATCTTTCGCACCGACTCCGCGGGTGGCTTGACCAAGCTCGGCCAGGAAAACTAACGCTACGACGGGCAACCATCCCACGTACTATGCCTTGTCCAACGACAACAAGTGCCTGTACGTGACCAATGAAGTCGCCATGGCATACTGATATTGTTCTGTGTGCTTTCGAAAACGATTCCAACACAAACACCAAGGACAATCTGTCACCCGACATTCGTTTCCTAATCAACACAAAGGGCCCCGTACATTTAGTCCAGACCAACAACAAATTCGTGGTAGTCGACGACAGGTCCGTTCTCGTCGTCAAGCTCAACCGCAACTGCACGGTTGGCGAAATTGTGGACACTAAGCAGTTCACCGGTGGCGCTGGTGTGATCCCGGACCGCCAGGATGTTCCTCATGCGCATTACGTCGCCCTGACCAAGTGCACCATGTTATTGTTCGTGACGGATCTCGGCAACGATAACATCATGCAGTACAAGCTCATAAATGGGAAGTTCACCGCAAATGGATTCACGTCGACTGGCCTGGGGTGGCTCCCCGCCATTTGGCCGTGCACCCCCCAACGGCCTTGACATCTTCTTGACGAACGAAAATACCAACACGTTGGCTACCATCAAGTCCAGCCCAACGGAGAGCTCGTCGCGAAAGAGTCGGTAAAGACGTCCACGTTGATGGGCGACCACTACTCGTCCGCTGTTCACGTGACAAAGGACGGCAAGTTTGTGAGAGTGTCCAACCGCAGTCGCGGCATAAACGAAATCAACGTTGTGGTGTGCGTCGCCAAAAACGTCAAGCTCGTGTCCCTCGCACCATGACGATGACGACATTGTGTAAACCAACGTACGAGTGACCGCCGCCTCCTCCCGAACGGCACGGTCATGCCTACCCCGACCAAAGTGACTATCCCGCCCCGATCGTCCTCTTGACATTGTAATCTTATTTACCTTAGCTCCCATCGAATTCTTGCCGCGTGAGGACGCTTTGTGCTATGGGCGTCCCATCTTCGCCTGCTGACGACATCACTGCGTACCGGAGAACAAACATTATGCAACATATAATCTACGTTGTGTCGTACGTAATTTATCTGGGGAATGCAACAATTGACCAATTATTCGTCGTGTTGGATGGATACAGTTGAACGCAAAATTCGTTCCACAGCATGGTGAAAAGTTTGAAGATTGTCTTCCAAGTGGATAGGCCACTTGTAAATCGGGGTAGTTATGTCTCTCTTCTGTGTTTGGGAGCACTTGTTGCTGACCTCGAACAGTGCATTTCTTGGCATGGAGCAATTTCGCTAATTTTTCAAACGACAACCACACTTGACAGGTTGACATATTTAATATTTTCCGATAAAGTAATGTTGGTTGTTTCAAACAATTTGCATAAACACATGCAGGCCCAGGTGTGTTTAATACCATTGACTGAAAAAATGTATGGTGTTCGGGCGCCGGGTAGCTTGGAGCCCGCCCGACCCGAAGTCACTCCCCCAATATTCGCCAGAATCCCAGCCAGAGAAGGTCTCATCATGGTGGAAGCGACCCGCGCCGAGACGAAGTCCCTGGACGAACAGATCAGCCGCCTGCGGCGTGCGGAGAACCTCACTGAGAATGAGGTCATGGAATTGTGTAAGAAGGCCAAGGAAATCTTGAGCGCCGAGTCCAATGTGCAGCCCGTGCGTTGCCCCGTGACCGTGTGTGGCGACATCCATGGCCAGTTCTACGACTTGCTCGAATTATTTTGCATTGGCGGACAATGCCCCGACACGAACTACCTCTTCATGGGAGATTACGTCGATCGAGGGTATTACTCATTGGAAAGCGTGTCGCTGCTTGTTGCCCTCAAGGTCCGTGTCGACCGTCGCTGCCGACTCGACTATTCAAAACTCTCACCCCAACGCCATGTAGGTGCGCCACCGTGAACGCATTACGATTTTGCGCGGCAACCATGAAAGCCGTCAAATCACGCAAGTGTATGGGTTCTACGACGAGTGCCTGCGCAAGTACGGCAACGCAAACGTGTGGAAGTACTTTACGGACCTCTTTGACTTTTTGCCAATGACGGCGTTGATCGAGAACCGCGTGTTCTGCATGCACGGTGGATTGTCGCCCAGCATTGACACGTTGGACCATGCGCGCGCATTGGATCGCGTACGTTTTGTTCTTCACACCCGTCGTTGTGTTGACTTGGAAGGACGTACAGGTGCAAGAAGTGCCGCACGAAGGACCGATGTGCGACTTGGTATGGAGTGACCCCGATGACCGGTGTGGATGGGGCATTTCCCCCCGTGGTGCCGGCTACACATTTGGCCAAGATATCACGGAACAGTTCAAGCGAAGCAACGGGCTCACGTTCATCGCTCGCGCCCATCAGCTCGTCATGGAGGGATACCAATGGACGCACAATCGTGGCGTCGTGACGATCTTTAGTGCACCCAACTACTGCTACCGCTGTGGGAACCAGGCCGCTCTGATGGAAATCGACGAAGTGATGGCCGACCGTGGTGGCGACAAGGTGTATGACACGTGCAAGTTTATCCAGTTCGACCCGGCGCCGCGGGACCACACGTTCAACGAGAAGAAGCGCACGCCAGATTACTTCCTTTAGGTCGCCTCCTCCTCCTCAACAACCGATACACTTGGATGCTCTCCTCTTTCTTGCATGTTAAACAACCCATCGCAGCGCCCGATCTCGCGTTGTTCTTGCTTCGATGTAGCGTCTGGCAGCCTAAAGCCTCCATGAGGCGACTCGTGCCAATGCGCGTCATCTTCCGCAAGAGAGACGACGACGACGAGTTCTCGCGAGCTGCCGTCGCCTGCATCATCGCATGATATACTAGCGCGCTTTGGCCACCACGATTTCTTTCACAAAAAGTCTTGAAGTAGAACCAACGACACGACGATTTTCATGATTGATTCAATGGTGGTTGGGAATGCACTGCCGGCCATGAGGTGTCTCGGTGGATGGCCTGGCGAGACTGTGTGGCCTCGGACAAGCTAGATCATGGTCAGGAATGCCTCCAGCTGTCGCTTGAGCTCGAGCGAGTCGGCGTGCTCAGGGTACACCTGAAGCGCCTTGGACACTTTGGCATATGCGTCTTGGAAGTCGCCGATTTTGTACGCGAGCAACGCGCGGTTGTACGTGGGCTCAAACATAAAGGTCGCGAGGCCGTCAGCAAATTGAAAGTGGGCGCGCGCCTGGTCCACGTTGCCCTTTCGTAGTTCGAGCACCTAAAACGACCCAGTCAATCCTAGTAGACACGAGAGATGGTGGACGACGCGTGCCCCAAGGTTGTTGTAGCTCTCGGCATGGTTGCTGTCGACCGAGACGGCGATCTTGAATGCCTGGTACGCGAGCCCCAAGTCGCCAATGCCCACAGCCACTTGCCCGATGTTGTACCAAACGTCCGCCATGTTGTCGTCCGACGCGAGCGCCAGCGCACGCTCAAAGCACGACAGCGTCAAGTCATACTAGCACGACAAATAGATAGCGATGGCAACGTGAACGCAATGCCAACGCACGGGGCACGTACCTGGGACGCGTAAAAGCAACAAAGGCCAACGTTGCACCACAGTTCCGTTGTATTGACGTCCATTTGAAGGAGGCGGCGGTAATAGCGGAGCGCGACTTCAGGCTACGGTTCAACCGCCGTCAGTCGATGGAATTGCGCATCTTCTCGCGGCAACGCGGAGACCACCACGATCGAAACCAACACGACGATCAAGTGTTTCGAGGGTTAGCACGTACGTGGTCGGTGTAGAAATGGTTGGACGCTAGGCACGCAATCGCTTCAATGTTGGCCGGGTCCAAAGCGAGGACCTGCGCTGAATGAAGCCAACAAGACTACGGGCAGTCGACGAACCTGCTTGTACGCTTCTACAGCGTGGTCCGTATCATTGAGCATGTCATACACGCGGGCGATCCCGATGAGAATGTGCACGTCTTCGGGGAACTTTTCTCTGCCGCAACGTAAGGCACCCACGTCAAGGTCGGCAACGTACTTGGCCTTGGCGTAATGTTCCAGAGCTGTGTTGGGCTGGTCGAGTTTCAGGTACACCTTGGCAAGCTCCAAGTACGTCACGACCATCGGCTGGTTGCGCAAGCTCGAGTCAAACTGCTTCTCGGCCTCCCGAAGTAGCCCTGCACGCAGCCTCGTCAACGATCAAACGAAGCCCCTCCTTGTACTGCCCCGTGTTGAAGGGATGTTTCGTACCCAACTGATAGTAGCATTTGCCAAGACGCGCCTTCCACCACCAGTCCTTGTAATCCGCCTAAGCACAAGTATGGTTCAGTGTGGATGGTATACGGTGTTAGCACGGACGGCCACGGTAGCTTCGGCGGCCAACTCGAGCGCTTTCTTCGGATTGTGGTCGTGGTACAAGAGGTAATCGATCAAGGCCTTGGCAATGGGCGGACGGGTTGCGTATCGCTTAAAGTCGAGACGATCGGGGTTGATAAAGACCCCACCATCGTCCCTGTTCTGCATGGACGCTGTGCCAAGGCGAACTTGACGTCCCAACGATGTCGGCGGCCGCGACGTGCCTATGAAATCCATTTGTTCGATGTTTGGCATCACGTGTAGAACGATGCGAGCGCACCTGGCCGGCTACCCTGCATAGCTTGATCGATGGACATGCCGCTGCCAGGGCGCGAGCTCGTTCCAGGCCGAGCAAAACCGCTCAAGGGCCGGCCATTCGAAGACATGGGACGAAAGCTTTGGTCTCCAGCTGAATTGCCCGACCTTGTCATGGGGCGGCTGAGCGACGTGCCGGGCCTGCGCGAAGCGTTAGCGCAAGGACAAGGTGGCAGTCGCACCGAGGCATATGAGCCATGACATTGTCGTCCAAGAGAAGATCTGCTGCGCCATCCTCTTCCATTTCTGAATCGTCCATGTACGTTTGCTGGGTAAGCGACCGGCACTTGACAAACCACACAGCCTTTGCACACCATGAGGAATGAATTCATCCATCACCCGACATGTAGACTACTTACTTGATCGTAGGGGTTTTGATCGAGAATGTCCGTGCATATGTCAATGCTCTCTTGGAATCGCCGCTGCCGGGTTCGAAGCAACGCCAAGAAGAAGGGGTCCACTCGGTGGATCGCACTTGTTGCCGCCGCCATAAGATACGTGAATCCTGAAGTTCTGAAACGTCACGGAAACGACAGCAAGTGTAGCCGAACCAATTTAGTGATTTCCACGCTGCAGATCTGCCATGACATTATATATATATACGATTGCGGTCAGTACCAGCCACGACGGCAACGACCTGCATGGACTGGGTGGCTGTCCCATCGCTGCAAGGACTGCCGCCTGCTTCCGTTTGTCTAGGCACATTGACCAGCCGACACTTGAGCCGACAAGATGCATTTGTTTGGGCAAAACTATTTTACCTCGTGTCAAAAAATGTTTATTCAGACATGCGCGGGCGGACAATTTTGCACTTAAGGAGAATGGATGCTCGAACAATATTGCGTCTATATTTTTGTTTTGGAGAAATTCATGGCATTATATTGAAGTGATATGTTAAAATTGGGGCAGAAAACGTGGCCGAAATTGGTCCATTTTGTGTCGGGAGATTTGTGTTCCGTTTATGCTGATTTTTGTCAATTCGATTGGAATGGACATGGCGAATGGACGATCGTGACACGAATGGTGTGGCTCAAAGAGTTGGTGCATCGACGTACTTGTCCTGAGATCCCGTCGAATAAAAAAAAGAGTGCTTTCATACGGACCTTTCGAGTTGTGAGCGATTCGTTCAGAAAATGCGACGGCAATTGCAGCCAAACACATTTCCGCCATGAGCTTTGTGGTGGTTCGTTTGCGTTGGACTACTTGTAAATGCAAAATACATGTATTATATAGACTAGCCTAGAGCGCAACGAGCGCAGCCTTGTACCACGTGTTGGCTGTCGAGCAAATGTAAATGTACGACGTGTCGTACATGATCGTGCCTTGGGCGCATGTTCCCGCCGAGGCTGTTCCCGTGCTTCCCGCCATGACGAACGTACCACCCGTGACAATCAAACTCGGGGAAGACACCGTCAGCGAAGTAGCGCCAGAATGCGTGATCAAAGCGGCGGCCGCAGTCATCGTGAGATCCCCCGCCATTGCAACACCTCCAGTTGACGCAGTGACCAAGAACGTAGACGTCGTTCCATCGGACGTGACTTTGAAGTTGTATGCACTGACGTGCAACAATCCCCCCGCCACGACGGTTGACGAACCCGTCAGTGTCACGGTTGTCGATGCTGTCAGCGCCAAGGTGGATGTACTGGTCAAATCCATTGCAGCGCTGCTTGCAGTTAAAGTCGACGCACTCACCAGAAGTAACGAGTTACTGCTGGCGTCCACCACCTTGACAGAGCCCTGAGTTGTTCCTGAGCCAGCCTGGAGTGTCACCGATCCACCAGTGCCAGAAGAAGCAGCACCACCCGCGAGGGTGAGGCTGCCGCCAGTGGAGGTGCCAGCACCGCCAGTCAAGGTCAAACCACCACCAGTTGACGTTGCCGCTGTGGTTGCGCCTGCAGTGATAGCGATGTCACCACCTGCACCAGTGTTGGCCGAACCCACGCTAAGCGTAATCGCACCGCCCTTACCACCTGCCGCTGACGACGATTGAATCGTAATCGCTCCCGAGTTCCCAGCCGTGGACGTCCCGGAACTAAACGTCAGCGACCCACTCGATGCTGACGTGGGTGTCGATATCGTCACTGAGCCGCTGGATGCGCTCGTGCCAGTTCCACTCGCCAATACCAAGTTGCCACCAGCACCAGCAGTTCCTGCACCACCCGTCAATTGAACGTCGCCACCAACGATGCCAGCACCACCAAGAATGGATGACTTGCCGCCAGTCATAGTCGATGCTGTAGTGAGACCAGCAGTAATGGTAATGTCCCCACCAGCTCCAGTGTTCGCATTTCCGACACTCAGAGTGATAGCTCCGCCTTTTCCACCAGTTGCTGCCGACGACTTGATGGTGATAGCACCCGAGTTGCCAGCAGAGGATATGCCAGAGCTAAACGTAAGAGCGCCGCTTGTAGTAGATGCAGCTGATGCCACAGTGATCGCACCACTCGCAGCACTTGTGCCTGCACCACTGGTAAATATCAAATCACCACCGACACCAGC